CTGCCACTGGCCCCAGCTTGCAGCGGCAGCCTGCTGAAACCCGGTGTGCAGATCTGGGGGCCCGCACCCCGCAGGAAGAGCTGAGGGAATGATCAGAGAGCTGGGGAATCCCTGCCACATGACCTGACTCTGCAGGGAGCAGAGATCCACGCCAGGGTCTCCTCGCTGCTGTCGCCTGCCCTATGCAGCCCCACATTGCTGGGGCAGTGCGGGGTGGGGAGCAGCAGCGAGGAGACCCTAACGCAGATCTCTGCTCCTTGCGGAGCAGAGTTGAGCGGCAGGGACCAGCAGGCTTGTTCGCCACTCTGTGCTGCTTCCCTGCCCTGCAACCTGGCTTGACATGGATCAGAGATCCGCGTGGGGCTCTCCTCACCTGTGCAAAGGGTAGCAGCCCTCCCCCTCCCCCAGTTGAGCCACCCATGGCCCCGACCTGCTCCTCGCTGGGGCCCCAACCCCTGCCCAGCTGGATAGGGCTGTGCAAAGCTTCCCTTACAGCCCATTTAAAATAGATTGGGAGAAGATTTGGCAGAGTCAAATCTCCGAAACAGATTCAGCTGAAATGAAACAGGACAGTGACCTGAAATGAATCGCTGTCCTTCAAAACGGCTGAATCCAAAACCGAATCGAAGCACAGCCCTACTGCTTAGATCCCAATTTTAAAAAAATAATAATAATTTTCATCTCCATCTAAAGATTAAATTTTATCCTTTATTTGCATCTTTTATTTAAAAACAATATAAAACCCAGTGTAATACAATTGTACAATTAGAATTAAGGCATATGTGTACAAATATGTATACATATAATGTCCATGTATACAATAGGTTGTAATAGTCTTTTCTGTTCAACAAATACACAATTCACAAAGCATGTGCCCTGAGAATAGAAGACCATTTTAAAGTGCCAAGAAGGAATTCATGCTGTATTGCATTAATTTGTTAGGGGATTCTAGTATTGTTTTATTCCATGATTTGCCGAGAGACCAATCATCATAGACTGAAAGTTAAATCAATACTTTGTCCTGCAGTGATGTCTACCACATGTGTCTGTTTCACCATATCCTCTGAGGTTGCCGTGACAGAATAGGTGCCAGGGGCTACTTCAATGTAGATATCTTTAGAAGCCTCTCTTCCCTTATGGGGAGAAGAAAAACAATACTGTTTAGTAGTTTTGAACTTCCTACAGAAACTGGCCTTTTTTAGTTGTGAGATGTTATGTTCATACATCAGATAAAACATGTTAAATTTTTAAAAAGGTACTGGCAAAGATGAACATTACTGGTAGTTACATTTTCTGCTCATTTGAAAAATTAGGAAGCTGTGATTGTAAATACCATATTCAAAGCCTTTTATCTGTGTTGCTTTTTTAGAACAGTAATGTAGAAATAACTGGCATATAGATCAGTTGTGATCTATGAAACTGGGGAATAGATTGTCAGACATTTCTCATCAACTTAAATGCAAGTAACGCAGATTTAGTAGAAAAAAAACAAACTTGTTGGGGGTTCTGATAAAGATGCAATGTTTTTCATTGTCTGTGGCCTAAAATCCATAGCAACTTGATTTGGTAAAGTAGCCTTTGGAAAATGTAAACCATTTCTCTCTCTGACCAGAGCAGAGAGTACTGCTCAAAACCAACCAGAGTAACTTCTAGCTCTACAACAGATAACACGTGTTCAAAAGCTAGCATTCTACAAAAATACTTTTTTGCGGGGACTACTGCCTGACCTTGCCATAGGGGAATTTCCATGGCCAGATCTTTGGCCATACTAGGATCCCCCTGTCAGGCTCTGCCAGCATGGCAGAGGATCCATTCCCCATAGTCTGGCTTGATTCTAGCATTAATAACATATCAAGGACACACTGGTGCTGTGGATAGAAGGGGGTCATTAATGATGGTGCATGTCAGACAAGCCAGAATATTATTTAATATTACATTTTGTAGTTCCTTACATTTTGTATCCATACCATACAAAAAAATCTACTTTTATATAACCACATGCTAACAATTGATAATCTGGCTTCCTGTCTGTGTGTGTATATACACATGCACATCCATTTTAGTACTTGTTTATCCACAATGGTGGTGGATCTTGTACAAATGCATTCTCACAAATTAGGACACATTTTTTGTGCCACCACTAAAAATATTGTGAGAGTCTATAAATAGGATATCAGATATTTGATACAGAATGAAAGGAAATTTCATTTGTTGATTAAGTAACTCCATATACTTACATGTTGCTGAGGGGTTGCAGCTGGACTGGATACTGGAGAGGTTTTATTTTTCTAGAGACAAAAATGGTGGTTATCAGTCAAATTCCATATATTGCCAGTTCTGGATCCTGTTAAACCCCATTCTGATGGGTCTCTTGTTAGAGTTTGGTTTATATCTAGAACAAACTTTTTCTAAACGTCCTTAGCTATAGTAGGATAGAAAGAATGTATGGAAAGTTGGGGGTTATTTGGATTTTAAAGAATTATCTTGGAAATATTTTGGCAAAGTATCTTGTGATCTAAAAAGGATCAGGCAGCTAATCTTTGATAGCAAATATCTTGACCATCTTCCCAATAAAGAAGTGGGAGAGAGCACATTCTTTCTTTCTTCTTTTTCTATGGACACTGTCCATAGAAACTAACACAATAAAAGTAGGTTGAGAGACACTCGAGCCACTTCAATCCATAATTAGATGCATTTGCATAGTTCTTTTATATATATTTTATTTTTTTCTCTCCCCTCCCCTCAAGTTATCTTAGTACAGTTTTACAGTCTGCTGTAGTAAGATGGCAATGAAGCCAGTCTTGCTGGCCAAATCATGAAATGTATGTTGTTCCACAATCTACAACCCAATACATTATTGTGGAGAATGTTGCAAGAGTAGGGAACCCCCCTCTCCCCAAAAAATGGTTAACGATAATGTGACTAACAGTCCAAAGGCAGAGTAGCATGTAGGAATCAGTAGGAACACCAGGCAGATTACACCCATGACTTGGATGAGGAAAAGAATTAAATTAAACATAATCACAATAAATTATTGGTAGCACCAGTATACTCACTTCTTTTTCCAGTGCCTTTAACAGGTTTTCTGCTGCTTGTCTGTTGTGGTATCTGCAGACATGTTTAATTTCATTCTCTCTACACCTACACACTGGCACAGAGCTATAGTATTTCTGGAGAACAATAAGCACAGAGGATTACATAGTCCAATATCACAATCACACCCAAGGCTGCTCTTAATTCACAGTCAAAACTAGAAGTGGAAATGCATGATTATTGACCTTTTGCATTAAATCAGTACCCTGTTCCGACTGGAGACTGGAAATGCCCTTAAATGACCAAGGCCTATAACCAATTAAAAAAAAAAAAAAAGAGGACTTGGGTTCCTGCTCCCCCAACCCCCTGGAAGAGAACCCTCAGGCCTGAGTGAGATGCTTCAGAATAGGCATGAAATGGCATACCGAGTAAGAAGTTGTTTGCACTAGCTGAGATAGAAATTTTGAGAATGGGATGAGTCTTAAATCCTTCCTCTGTCCAGTATTCAGGGAGACACCATGCTCCAACTGGGATTCATAGCTTCCAGTACTCTCCAAAAGGTACCCCCTTTTAAGAGGGTCAAGCAGAATCATGTTTCCTGCTCCCTGGGTCCAATTCAAATTCTTCTCTCCAAGTGCAACACCTGAAGCAGGACAGGTTGAGAATGCCCTGGTGGTTGGGGCACTTGCCTGGGAAGTCAGAGATATGCATATAAATCCTCAGGCAGAGAAGGGAATTTAGCCTTCATCTCCCACATCTTGGGTGAGTGGCTTAACCACAGGTACTGCATTAGAACATGGCAGCAGCAGATGCAAAATGAATGGTGATCTATTGGCAGACAAGGTTCTTTGGGTGAATCTGATATCTTTTATTAGACCAATTTAAATAGTTCAAAAAAAAATTAAGCAAGCTTTATTTAAGTTGGTCTAATAAAAGATATCAGATTCACCCAAAGAACCTTGTCTGCTTATGTCCTTAGACCAACACGGCTACAACCTACACCCCTGTAACCTGGTGATCTAATGGTACTTCAGGGTATGTTCAAATAGACCCTCAGATACCTATGGAATTTTAATGCTAAAAACTGTTTCCTGTGGACTCGAGGCACATCCAGAATTAGGGTCAGCAGACCAGGGGTTTTGAGAATTGTAATTTTGGATTTAGGTGCCTAAATCCCACCAGAATCCCTTTGTCCATATCATGCCAAGTGAATTGGTCTTCCTATTGCTAAGTGAATTGCTTGGGAAGGAATCTGCTGCCATCTGCTGTCCCCATGCAGCACACACAACTTTTGCTCATGTGCCCCTTTAGTTAGCAAGCAGGAAGTTCCAAGTGGTTTAGTTCGTCTTGTGCATTTCCTTTGCCAACTAGTCCAAGCCAAACAGACCAGAAATATGGCGAACTATCCTTTTCTTGTTTGCAATTCCACTTTCCCACTTTATACTTTGATGTCACTACTAAAAGCAGTTTCAGTTTTTTTGACAATTATTAAATAAATTGGTCTAATATTGTTATGTATATTGTACACATGCCCAAAATTACAGTGCAATTGAAGTTCAGCTTCAGATACAGCCCATGGACCCATGTCTGTATTCCAGCCCGTGGGACCAGAATTTTGGCAGTTGAACTTTGAGAACTGCAGCAATTAATGCTGCTACTGCTCATCCCACAACCAAGGGTGTTTTTACCTGTGTTCCCAATGCAGCACCAGATGCTTTTAATTAGCAAGCCATGCTAATGAAAAGCACCCACATGTCACATGCATAAGCAACACAGCATGCCTCTGCACTGAGAAAATGGCAGCGGTGCATTTTGAACTAAAGCACTTAGCACTGCCATTTTCTCAGTGAAGAGGTGTGCTGCGCTGCTGATACACACGACACACGAGGCTGCCAGAGTGCATCAATTTACATATCCCAGCAGACTTGATTAATCAAATCTGTTCCAATGTGCTAATTCAGAGCATCAAAGTGGGCTCGCTGCATGTGTGCAAGTGCCCCAAGTTTTCATCCTCCTGGGCCAGATCTAAAGCAGGCCTGCAGGGCCAGAAATTTGGTCATGTAGGAACAGCAGCTGCTACCACCGACTTTCCAACCCTGTGGGCACTCCCATGCTACTCAGCCACTCCTTTGAGCTGCAAGAGTTTTAACCCCCTGGTCTAGGAGACTAGTGTTGTTGGAAGGCTATCACTCCTCAATTCTCACCCCAACTCTGCTAATGGCTCCTGCTGTGGTACTGGGTACCCTATACCTTGCTATGTTTCTATTCTCTCTTTTGTAACATGGAAATGAAGCTGTCTGTGTCCTGCTGGGGTAGTTGGAGGCTTCACTACTGTGTGTTTACACAGTACTTTGAAACTAGGTGCTATACGAGAGCTAATTATTGATGTATTTAACTTGAACCCTTCCCCTTCTTTTCAGTTCTCTCTAATTTTAGACTCACCCTCTTATTAATTTTCTAGATAACAAGCTGCTTGCTGCAAGATGATAGCCAACATCAAAGGACAAAGATGATATAAATTATGATGAGGTTTGCTTACAGATTTTAATTCAAAAGATATGCCACAGCAGTGTGTTCCAAAAGGCAGAATTGGAAGAAATCAATGTACAGTTTCCAAGATATTTCCAGTAAGCTAATGAGACTTGATCACTAGGTTCCTTGAGTCACTGCTAAATTACAATTTCAGGGTAAAATATGTTCAAAGATGAAAGAACATGGCTTTTTAGAACTCTGCAAGTAACAGCAGGACTGTGAAAACAGGCATTTTATTTGTCACTCCTTAGGTTCTGTTGATCATAAATAAAGAAACAGTCCACAAAAAGTTTGTTCATAGGAGCCTGATCTTTACGTAGGTGAAGTTCCTCCAGGCATCAGCAAAAATTTGCTTGCATCTGGGGTGCATGGGGTTGGACTGTACGTGGCTCTTTCATGAGCATACACAAACAAGAAAAAGTTATCTCTATCTTGCTGGAGGCGATAAAACTACACTCCTTTCTCCTCTTGCTCTTTAAACACATGGAATATTTTGGCTGTAGTGTCATGGCACACACAGAAGGTAATACAACTTACCCTTGTTCAAAGCATCTATACACCAACAGGAGTAATTCCGTATCGCACATGACAAGAACTAAAACAATGATGGTGTTAATCACTGCTCTAGCCTCCCCATTTTAAGTTTCTCTTCCTACCCATTGTGTCACTCCTCTACAATCAAGCTTCTCTTACAAAGGGAGAGAGTGAAAATAGGCACCCTCCTGTGGCTGTGATTTAATATGATTTTACTGGGGCTACTAACAAGGGGAATGCTACTGCAGACTAGGTGACAGTGTCCCCTAGCATGCCATGCAACCCAACTCAGAACAGATCCAGGTGAGTGGGAGGTAAGAGGGCTGCCCACTGATCTGAGGGTGGGAGATGTCTTTAGAGTTCTCAGTCTAGCAGGGTCATATAAGCCATCATTCAAGCCCTCATTAGTCATTACTAAAACCTGAGAGGTTGCTCTGAATCCCCAATTCATGTCTAGTTCTTTTACAAATGAGCCAACCACAAGCATAAGTTTGGCAACTCCTTTCTTCTCTCCCAATATAAAGACTTACCTCGCATTCCTTTGTGGTCCGATTCATGAACTCCACAACTGAAGCAAATGCTGCACTGAGACTTTCTGAATCTTCTTCCTGAAATTAAACAATTGTTGGGGAAGTGATATGTGACTAAGCGTTTTATAACAGAGGCCTACTGTGGTTCTTGTGCCTTGCTTTGAAGTTACCTTCATCCATATGAACCAGGTGCGCACAACTACAGCCAGGCTGGCAGAATAAGCAACAGAACATCGCCTAGCTTACAAGGCTTTCTCCATAAGGCAATAGCTAGCTGTGGACTATATGATCCTACCCTACATCAGAAGCATTTGTGAACCTTGAAGCACTTATGAACCTGTACTACCAGGTCGCATCCACAAAGCCATTGCAACGCTGCAGAGTAATTATACAGTTTCACCATCTCTGAAAACAAGCGAGTTCGATGCATCTGGGAAGATTTTACACTGGCTTTGACAGCATGCAACACAGAAAGGTACCCGGGCACAAAGCGTGACTGCTGAAACATCCTCTCAGTCTAGCTAATTATAACGCACGCGTTAGGTCTTAAGGCTAGGGACAGCAGTTACACACAAACCAGTTTAAGTGATCAGAAATTGGTTTAAACCTGTAACAGAGCAGAAGGTCAGTCCACATAAACCAGTTTCAAAATGGCTGAAACTGGCTTAAGATAAACCTGGTTGAATGTAGTATCAGACTTATCAGATTTGGGTCAGACCGGTTTAAAGAACTTCTGTCCCAGACCTAAAGGACCTGCCCCGTAGACTCCACCTGATGGAAGGAAAGCCGGCTGGAGATGGTCCTGGCCCTTGCAAGAAGGCAGGAGCGGATCACACCTGCGGGACGCTGCTTCCAGCACTAATGCAGTGATTCCCCACTTGAGACCCTTTGGAGCGGGTTGCACAATGTGAGCCCTGCGAGGGGTGCAAAGGGGCTTCGCAACCTGGAGATGTTGGAGCGCTGTCTTTCAATAGGAAAAAAAAAAAAAAGTAGCCCTGCCCTCAGGTTTTCCTGTAGACACTGCCTGAGAGGGGGTCTCCATTCTCCAAAGGCTGAGAAGCACTGCTCTGAGGAGCCAGCCTTGCCTCTCCCCCTTGGCCAGAGCCACTGCAGGGAGCGTTTCACTGGAGCTGGCTGCTGCCCCATGAAGTGCCCGGGGAAGACTCAGGAAGGCGGGAGCCGCGGATCCCACCTCCCAGCCGCAGCCCTAGCCCCCTCCCGGCTCCCCAGGCACCGACCCGGGGCTGCGGCCAGTTCACGCGCCGCCTCCGGGCGCGATCCAGCACCTCCCGCGCGAGCCCGGCGGTGCGCAGCATCCCGCCTCCCCAAACGGCCCGGCCCCGGAACTCCCCGGCGGCAATGCGGGCGCGTCACTCCCGCCACGCCCCGCCCCCTGCACGTCTGTCCATTGCCGCAGGCGCCGCGCGCCCGGGGCTGTCTGCACGTGCCCCTCTAGCCCAACGCTGCTCAGCCAGGCGGCACAGCGACGGCGAGATCCTTTCAGGGCTGCAAGGCAGTGTTAGGGGTGCAGAGAGGAGTCGCCGCCAGCTAAACCCAGCTCAACTCACTCATTTTGTGACGAGAGGAAAATCATAACAACAATTAATAGAGCACTAGTCTGTTGCAAAGAACTCGAAAGCTGCAACAGGTCAGAATGCTGACCATTATCCTCAGCGTTGCTTATCATCAGGGATCCTGGTTTTCTCTGATTTAAAAGAAATCCCCAATTTTCAGTTTAAAAAGAGTAACCTCAAATCCACATTTTTCCATTATTAAAATCAGTGGCCTTGAGAGCGTTGGTGCACTCCCTGACAGGGCAAGTTCCCTGCTTAGGTGATGGGCAGAGGGGGTAGGTGGGAGTGCTGGTGCGCGTACCCCCCCCTCCCCCTGTGAACACTGGCTAGGGAGTGGGAGCACCTGGATGGAGCACGGTGGCCACTTCCAGGAGCAGCACTGCCAAGACTGGCTGTGAGGGACCCCTCCCCCAGTTGACTGGTGGCTGGGGGGGCACATGCCCCCCCTGACTAAGGTGGCACCCGTTGCCCATGATTAAAATGAAATGCTGCTATAGATATATATATTAATGGCATTTCAGTTTAATCACTGGAAAATGTGGATTTGGGGTTACTTTTTTTAAACCAAAAATTGGGGATTTTTGTTGATCGGAGAAAACCAGGATCCCTGCATCATCATCATCCTTATTGCTGTTATTATTGGTGTTGCTGTTATAATGATCATTATCATTTTTATCGTTGTTATCACTGTTAATATCACTATAGTGTCACTATAGGAACCCCCAGTATTAAAAGCCTTTTGACCTGCTGGGGTGTTGGTTGTAGCCATGTTGGTCTAAGCAGGGGTGATTGGTGCCTCCTGAGTCTGGGGGGGCACAATTTGTGGGTGGGCCAAAAGCCCCATATCCACTCCTATACTTCTATACCATGGCTTAGTGTCCCCCCCCCCATAAGCTGCCAGCCTGTGTGTCAAAAAAGCTGCCCCGCCCTGAGCAGTGCTGAGTTGGGGGCCAATCTTAGGGGGGGCACATGCCCCCTGTGCCTCCCCTACCAGTTGCCTGTGGGTCTAAGGGCAGGCAGGAAAGGTTTTTTGACATCTTTTATTAGACATTTAAAAGATACTAAAAGTTTAAGATTAAAACTTTAACTTATTATATAATATCTTTTATTAGACCAACTAAATAGTTGAAAAACTGGTTCTTTGCAAGTTTCCTTGTTGCAAATTGGCATTACCCACTGGAAAAATGTTTGGGTGGGAAATGTCCAACCAGCCTCTCCCCTGCAGGCCAGACCAAACCATATGGCAGTTCAAAGTGCATGTTAGACCATTCTGCCGAAGCCAGTGGTGGTTTGCATCCTCAGGGGTAGCAAGATGATGTAAGGAGAGTTCAGATGGACTCAGATTCAGCAGGCTGTGAAGAGGATGGGGAACCGAGCCGGTTTCCACCACAGCTAGTATTGCTAGAGCAGCGCAGATGGAAGAATCATGCATCCTATTTTTGCTAGCATAAGCTCCAGAGTTTTCTATAATGTTTCCATCCTTGGTTGTTTTGGACTTATGCAATGTGGGTCATAGGATTTCTTTAATATAGTGGTTCTGAGCATTTTTAGACTCAAGGCACCCCTTGTTAGACTTTGGGCACCTCTCAGAAAATGTCAGCTCACCTTTCACTTATTTTTTTACCATAGGAAAATAATAGAGCAAATAATAGAGCACTTACTCTGTTGCAAAGAACTCAAAAAGACCACAAGTCAGAATGCTTATTGTCATCATCATTATTACTATTATTATTGCTGTTGCTGTTATAATTATCATTATTGCTGTTTTTATCATTGTTAGTATCACTATTATTGTTGCTGTTACTGTTATTATTTATACCCTGCCTTAGATTTATACCCTGCCTTATCCAGAAGGCTCAGAGCTGCTTACAGTAAATGACACTGGATTCTACTTTGAAGTCTCTGGCTTCATCTTGTGAACCATGTGTTTTGCACCTCTAACAGCTCTGATATTGCGCAGCATCTGATGACACCCTGAAAAGGATCTTATGGCACCTTGGTTGAGAATCACTGCTCTAACTTCGGTCAGGTGCAGGGAAGGCTTATGGAATTACACCTATGGTTCCTGCCTTTTAGGGTCACTCCCTGTACTTATCAAGGAAGGGCATCTCAGTATGACTAGCCAATAGTCTACTCATTTAGTTCAACATACATCTAAGATGCTATAATCAATATATACCTTTGTGGCATCAGATGTCAAAAAAGAAGTCCAGAAATCATTTAAAAATTAAAGTATCGTTTTATAGCTTCAGCTACATGTCTGTCACTATTTCTGTTTCAAAGATTTCTCTTTAATGGTATGTTTAAAATAGTTTAAATGACCCCACACAGCAGTTCTGTACACTGCGCATCGATTTACCCTTGTCCAGTCTTGGAGTATCTTTGCTATTGCGTTCTTCTGCTATTTTTCAAAAGCTGACTAAGCAATAGTAAACTACAATGTATTTTGTCATAACATTAAGTTGCCTTTTCAAATAATAGACTCACATGTTCAGGGACATTTAACTAGTTACTTTTTCTGTGTTACATCTACTGGTTTATGAGAATACAATATTACTGTTATTACATAAAATGATAGTAAATAATTCTTAGAGCTGGATGTGAACCAGGAAAAGCAAAGGAAATCTAGAGACTATCATTCCTAGCTTGAG